CGGAGCCCGTATCTGGTATTTCTGGAGCTCTAGCTCTGGTATTTCTGCTCTGTCTACGGAGTAGTACTTTACCTATCGTCCATGCTGAGCCAGTTTTCTGCTGTCTGCTCTCGTTATCCGTCCACCTACCTCCGGCTATCTGTTTGTTGGCTGTATCGTGCATTGCACATCGAGTCTCGATGGCTTCGAGACCGGCCCTGGCAGCGGCGGGCTGCTCCCACTGCCGCAGTGCCGTTCTGAGCCTCTTCACCACACGGATACGCAAACCGCCCGTCGCGCCGCGAGCCCTGTTCCGCCCTGGTTCGCGTGCCGTCGGCCTGGCCTCGACCCGGACTCGACCCCTCTCTTCTTGGCCAGCTCCGAGCCCTTCCGACCCAGGCCCGCCTCGCCCGTTCGAAGAAGCACCGGTCGAACGAGGCGCTGAGCAGCGGGCCGCGCAACGGGTCGAAGAACAGGCGGAAGCGCAGGCCGATGGACAGGGCGAACAGCAGGGCGAGCAGCAGGGCGAAGGGCTTGGACGAGATCAGGACGCTCCCGACAGCGAACCCTGGTATCTCCAGGTCGATCCCCCCCGGCACGTGGCGCCGATGGAGCCGCCGCCGCTGCCCGAGGTGCCCGCGGGCGCGCCGTCCATCATGGGCCCGCTGCTCGCGTACGCGGCCGAGGAGATGGGGCTGGACGAGCTGCGGCTGCTGGACCTGCGGGCGCTCGACCCGCCGCCGGCGCTGGGCTCCAACCTGCTCATGCTGTTCGGGACGGCGCGCGGCGAGCGCCACCTCAACGTGTCGGCGGGCCGCCTCGTGCGCTGGCTGCGCTTCCGCCACCGCATCTACGCCGACGCCGACGGCCTGCTGGGCCCCAACGAGCGCAAGACCAAGCTGCGCCGCAAGGCCAAGCGCGCCCGGCTCCTCGGCACTGGTACCAGTACCATGGGCGCCGACGCCGTCGACGACGGTATTACCACTGGCTGGATCTGCGTCAACCTCGGCAATATCGGCCGCGGGGGCGAGGAGACGGCCATCGTCGCCGACGACGGCCGCGTCGCGGGCTTCGGTCTGGCCCGGATGGGCTCGGCCGTCGTCGTCCAGATCATGACCGCGTCGAGGAGGGCCGAGCTCGGCCTCGAGGCGCTGTGGACGAAGGCCCTGGACAAGTCCGTCGCCCGCCAGGAGCAGGAGGAACAGGAACAGAAAGCCATCGAGGCAGCTACGACCCGCGATTCTGTCCCGGCGGAGAGGCAGCCTGCGACTTCTCCACCACCGTCGACGTCCCTCGGGACTCCTTAGATCCGACCCCCAAATTATATGGTGCCGCGAAACCAGGCATGATGTTATTCAGCCGAGTGAAATATCACGTTCGGCTCCTGGCTTCCCGTCCGCCCACAAAGGAGGAAATTTTGATGTATGATAAAATGTACAACTGCTGTATAGTAAAACAGGCCGCTGGGGTGTATCCAGCTCGCCCAAGGTATGCGACCTCCTCAGAGGATTCGAGCTCGCCTCATTGGAAGAAAGCCGGCTCTTGTAAATGTGGTCATGCTCACGCTGGGTACTATCCCTCCAGACCATGGAAAGTATCGCTTGGCTATACAAGCCAGGACGGAGGAGCATGTCACGTCACCAGTCACCGGCCAGTAACGCAGTGGAAAGGCTCCGGAGAGCCATGACCAAAGTGCCAGGGCGCCTTCGTCACCTCGGGAAGACGCTCGTCTTGTAAGAGAGAGGAAGAATGCGGACGGGCTGCTGCGCTGCGCGTGCTTGGTTGTAAATAGTTCCATGTGGTGGTGGCTTGTTTGTCCAGACCTACTGGTAGCCAAAGCCGATGGACAAGAAAAGTACATTGCTTACGCCTTACGTCCGTCTGTCCGTTCAGAAGTAGCAACTCGTTGGCGCAGCGTCCAGGTTCCTTTGCCCGTCTGTCTGTCTCTCTCTCCCGCCAAAGCAGTACATACAGACCAGTATCGCGCTCTACCTACGCAGCTAACAGCACGACCCGGCACGTAAGTTAAGGCAGGTAGATCAGACGCTCAGGACTGCGCCGTCGCGGCTTTCCGCATGGCCTCCCGCAGCTTGGGCGCGATCTGCTTGCGGCTGTGGGCCAGCGCCCCCTGGGTCCAGCAGCGCCGCCACCTCGTCGTCGTCGTCGTCGTCGTCGTCGTCATCGCCGTTCCCCTCCGAGGAGGAGGCACCTCCTCCTTCCTCTTCTCCTCGTCATCGTCATCGTCGGGGTCGAGGTTCAGCGCGCCGTCGCGCCACGGCCCCCGCAGCTGCAGGTCGTCGGCCTCGGCCTCGACGAAGGCGCGCGCGGCGCGCGCCGCCTCCTCGGTCGTCGCGCAGATGAGAAGCTCGCGCGCAAAGACGACGGACGATGGGGAGTCGGAGTCCCCCCGGTCTTCGCCCTCCCCCTCGGGTTCGGGCTCGGGCTCGGGCTTGCGCGGGGTGGTGGTGGTGGTGAAGGCCGTCAGCACGACGCCGAGGTCGATGCCCCGACGCGCAACCCACTGCGAAACTCGAGGAGTCAGTGACTTTTCAATCTTTCTTGCGATTGATCCATTGTTCTGGTGAGCATATCTCGGGGATGTGTCTCGGGAGAGCAGAGCAGACAAAGTTCCCACAGAGGGGCAAGACAATGAATGACCCCGGAATAGATAGGTATGGGTAGGTAAGCTCACCGCGTCCAGCTCGCGCACGAGTGCCGCCGCGCCACCGGCCTTGTCGACCAGGTACGCGAAGCCCTGCGGCACCGACGCCGTGCCAAGCTCCTGGTCGCACGAAGTCAGCGCGTCGATTTCCGAGCCGGGGGGGAGACTATATTCCGGGAGTATCCAGGTCCGGCTGAAAGGAGGGAAAGGTAGGCTGCTGGGCAGGTAGGAGAGACTAGAGACTGACGATACCGCCCTCCCTCCACTGCTTGTAGTCCTTGCGCAGCACGGCCTGCATGGACATGCCACCCAGGTCCGTCTTGAGCCGGGTCAGGTCCGCGAAGTACGCCGCGCGGTCGAACTTGTCCGCAGCGAGGCGGGCCTCGGCATAGGCGACGGCGCGCTCGTCGCGCGGCGTCGTCTTGCTCGCGCTCGTCAGGTTCGACGTGTCCATGAGGATGGGCGCGAGCGCGAGCCGCGCCAGCCCGGCGTCGACGGCCGCGTCCCGCGGCAGCGCGTCCCACTGGGAGAAGCAAGGGAGTCAGTAGTCAGGTAGGTAGGTAGGTATCTGATGGGGGAAGATATATCTCTTGGCTTTTGATTCGGAGATCGGGAAGGTTGCTATTCTCGGCTCGGGAGCAGACGAGTTTCCCGACGGAAGAAGAAAAAGGACTCATGGAAAAGCTCACCGTGTCGCGGCACTGCCTGTACGAGTGCGCAAATCCCCGTCCGTGCGTCAGTATTTGTTTGTGTCTTTTGAAGTTCATTCATCCCGAACCAGGGGACGTGAGTATCACGATCCCATGCCACCTCGCCCCCTTGCAAAAATGAGAAAAAAATAAAAAGGGGGAAGGGCAGGGGATGGGGGAGTCCTCTAGGACGGAAGCAGGACGCACTCGACCACGAGGCTCGCGCAGCTGCCCGTCTGCTCGAGCACGCGCGTCTCGGCGCCGCGGGGCACGGCGCCCTCGTCGGCGTGGTGGTCGACGCAGCCGACGACGCGGTGCGCGTAGGCGGCAGCCAGCGCGCCCGTGAGCTGGTTGTGGTCGACCAGCAGCCAGGCGGTGTCATCGGGCGGGAGAGGGGCAGCAGCGGCGTTCTTCTTCTCCTCACCGCCCTGAGACGGCGGAGGCGGAGGCAGCTCGTCCAGCGTCACGACGTCGTCGGGCGTCGTGGACGCGGCCGCCAGCGCGGCGACGAACTCGGGCCGCAGCTCGAGATCGGCGCGCGGAATGCTAGGAAGATAAGGGGCCTGGAGTCAGCGCGCGCGTACACACACTCCCATACAGAGACATATATACGACACACACATAGTCCCTCTCGGCTCACACGTTACAGGACAAGCGATGTTTTGGATGTCATGAAATGTCGGAGACAGTTCGTCTGTTCCCAGAAAGAGAAAGCTCAAGAGTTATGCATGCTCCGAAGATATGCCAGGAAAGGGGAAAGGGGGAAAGGGGCATCATACTTGCACAGCGGCACATGAACTGTATGTGGCGGCACCTGGCTGCGGAAGTAGGCCAGCAGCAGCGCCGAGCATAGGGAGTCGAGGTCTGGTTTTCAATCTCCTCGTATTTTCGCGGTTGCGGCGGCGAGGTCTTGTGTCAGCCGTGCTGCTTCGTGCTGCCAGGGGGGTTCATGATGACGACGCGGCCGTCTCCGAGCGTAGGCCGGATCTCGGGCAGGGGTCGGCCGGGAGGGCGGGACCGGTCCGGCGGGCGGGCAACCGGCCGGGGGGAAGGAACAAACATGACATACCGGCCGACTCGTTGCCCACCACGAAGATCAGGGGCTTCGGGCGCTTTGCGGGCGGCGCCGCCAACGCGGCTTTTGCCGCGGCCAGAAATGCCGACAGCGTCTTGCGCGAGGACATCTCACACCAGAGGATCGATGTGTTACAGAGGTTGAACTATGGATGGAATCTTTTGAGAGTTTCCTGTATCTGTTTGCAAGGTACCGTGGTAACCTGTACAGACGTACACTTGCTCGTGCTGCGCTCTACAGTAGTAGTAGATGCCGTTGTATGCTATCGATAGGCAAGGCTGGCCGTGACCTTGAACTCGTAGTCTCGCCCTCGGCATCGCGCCTGAGCATGGCGAGGTATAAATGCTACTATATGAAGCGCGGAGCATGCTTGACCCCTTCTCTGGCCATTGGTACCTTCTTCTCCCGGCCTTACACGGTTTCTTGTAGTGGCGACCTGCAGACTTTTGATGGTTGTGGCAGCGTACCTACTAACTTGCAGCAGCGAATTGGGTCTCTGCGTCCCGCTTACTTGAATAAGAGACGCAAATGTGATTAACCGGCATTGACTCTAATATAGTCTATCATAACAACGACTTTGAACTCAAGCACAGAAGGCTCAATGGTCTAGTCGTATGATTCCTGCTTTGGGTTAAGTCTCTATCCATGAACTTGGAAATGCAGGAGGTCCCGGGTTCAAATCCCGGTTGAGCCCCTAACTCAATCTTAGTGATTGACTGTTTTTTTTTCGTCTGGTTATCCTGTCAGTCTTTTTGTCTCCTACGGTGTACTTATTAGATGGTTAGTACCAGAGCCAGCTGTGATATGACAAAGGGTTGAGGAGTATTATTCTAAGCTTTCTGGCCCAGGTGTGTATCACTGAACCTTTTAAAAATGATGTTCTACCTGACACAATGAGGGAAGTTTTGTGACATGATCAATTTTGAAGACTCTTCTATCTGCATTTCTATCTGCACTGAATAGAGGCATGCGACAGCTAGTACGCAGTGGTACTTGTCAAGTTGTTTGAGCTGTGCCTGTGAAGACTGAGGGTGTACATTGATGAATATGACAGCAAGAAGGTCGTTCTCTCTAATAACAGTCTACTGTACTGGGGCTACCGATATTCTAGGAACTCGACACCAATGCTCTATGGTTACGGCACCATATGCCTTGGTACTCAACTAAGTACTTCTGGACCGTTGCGGAGACTCTTTCTTTTATTGGGTACTGTCTAGAAAGAAGTGAAAAGCAGGAAGGCCACGAGACCTATTATTCGGCCTGCACCGAATCGCATTGCCATCTTGGGGCCATGATGCGGGCAGCATCCGCATGAAGAGCGGAGCTTTCAATGCTTGGGTCCGATGGAGCGTGGGGATAGCAGTGAGCTTGAAAATAAGTCCACCTCCATTTGCTCTCGATTGCTCGATCAAGCCGAATCAATGCTCCAAAGCCCTGAGCGGGACCCAAGCCCCCCGGCTATTACATAATATATCCTCTTAAATGAATGGCTATGAAGTGGGATGCCGGTTAATTCCCACGGTGGGAGTCAGACCCCTCCGACGACGGAGCTAGGCACTTATTCCGTCATTGGTCTTGAACGAAATACAATTTTCCCAAAGCCCCCCGCCAGGCTTGATTCAAGACTATTTTATATTCTCTCTTGCTACTTACCTCTCCAGCCTCCAATTCGACTTCGCAGACGCCTCGATCGATTCTCGACCCTCCTGCCTTCATCATCGCCATGTCTCCCGCGCCGACAGACTCCAATGGCGCGCCTGCCATCGCCGCCGTGCCCGTCGCCAAATCCGTGCCTCACCACCAGAACTCGCCCTACCAGTCGGTCCAGGACTACCTCTCCAATGTCGGCAACTTCAAGATCATCGAGAGTACCCTCCGCGAGGGAGAGCAGTTCGCCAATGCCTACTTCGACACTGGTACTTCTTCCTGTCTGCTTCATAATTTGATCGACGGTTTCGCTAACCCTCGCGCCTACCAGAAACCAAGATCAAGATGTACCTTTCTCCCACAATCCCACAATCCCACAATCCCACACAGCACCACTCTGACCCGTGACCAGCGCTACGATGCTCTCGGACTTCGGGGCTGAGTACATCGAGCTTACTTCGCCAGCCGCTTCGGTGAGCAACCTCGATGGCTGTCCTACCCATGGGTGATGCTTATCATGAGTAGGAACAATCTCGCAAGGACTGCGAGACTATCGCCAAGCTTGGGCTCAAGGTCGGTCATTTCCGCCTGCTCCTTCTCAATATACTTACGAATACTGACAACCTACAGTCCACTATTTTAACACGTTTGTCACCCCGTTTCCGAATGTCTGTCTGAAAGACTCGTTGCTTATTTCGATTTCCTTATTCCAGACGTCCGGTGTACTATAGGGCAAGTTCTCTCCCGTCCAAGCCCCCCTGTGAGGATCGCTACCCGCATGAGCATGTACTGACTATATATTACAGAGACGCCAAGTTGGCGTAAGTTACTTCACGCCTTCAATTCAATCAACTTCTGACCCCTATCAGTGTGTCCACTGGAGTCGGCGGCATTGACTTAGTTATCGGAACGAGCAAGCAGGTACGTGCACTCAGCATTCGTCTTTAATCGAGATGTTGTATGGGCTGGTCTCTGTTTTGTCTTTTACAAGAGACGTACTGTCTGAGCGAAACCGACTCTTGCTAATAATTTCGGCAGCTTCGAGAGCACAGCCATGGCAAGGACATTGAGGGCATTAAGAAGGCCGCCATTGAGGTTGTTGAATACGTTAAGAGGTACAGCCACGCTGTTTCCAATAGTTCTACACAAGAAAGCTAACCAGTTGGCAGCCAAGGAGTCGAGGTCCGGTTCTCCAGTGAAGATTCATTCCGAAGCGATCTGGTAGACTTGTTGGACATTTACAGAACAATCGAGTGAGTGGTACCTTAATGTCTTTTCTCCTGTCTGAAGTGGGTGGGACCGAGGGTGTCCGAGAACGTTGTCGTTTGGCCGACGGACACTTCCACTCGGTCACTTCAGACTTCTCACGGACAACTAAGGACAAGAGGCTTTTGAAACAGTCCATTTACTGTCATGGTTTGCTTACTCTTTCTGCAGTCGAATTGGCGTGGACCGTCTGGGTGTAGCCGATACGGTGGGCTGCGCAACTCCCAGACAGGTTTACGACTTCGTACGCACACTTCGCGGGGTAAGATCAATCGTGGCATTCACTGTTACCTGGGCACAGAAGCAGGGGTATTGACAAGTTGCGGTTCAACAGGTCGTCAAGGCTGATATTGAATGCCATTTGTGAGTTTATCCCCAGTTCTCATCCCTTTCACTATCTAACTGGAATAACTAGCCACAACGATACTGGATGTGCCATTGCCAACGCATACGCCGCGCTGTAGGTCTCTTTCTTGCGACCTGGCTTCGAAGCCGTTGCCGAAGTCATTTTCACTAACCCTACCGAAACGATAGCGAAGCCGGAGCAACTCACATCGACACATCAGTTCTTGGCATTGTAAGTTCATGGCCCACAAAGCTCAGCCTCCTGATCGTTCCTGAGAGCGCTCGGCTCTTTACCTCTCGAGGCCAATTTACTTCTCTGGGCTAATAGCTAACTTGTGGTTTCTCAGGGCGAGAGGAATGGTATTACGGTACGGATTCCCATGACCACTTTGACAGCCTTGGAATCGGTTTCCTCTTATCGCGTTCGTCACTGACTTTCTCAGCCTCTGGGAGGTCTCATGGCCCGTATGATCGTTTCGTCGCCAGACTATGTGAAGTCGCGGTACAGTCTCCAGAAGATCAAGGCTATTGAGGACTACGTTGCCGAGCAAGTGGAAAGTGAGTGTTTAACACACTTGAGTTGTTACTCCAGTCAGCTCGCAGGTCCATGGCTAACCTAAGAACCTTGTGTCTTAGTCAATGTTCCCTTCAACAACCCCATAACGGGATGTAAGTTCTTACCGCGGTCCGGTCTCACTCTATCGGGCTGAATTTGACCCCCGACACCAACGAGTCGCCTGATACTCCCTTCCAGCTTGCCATTCACTTCTCGAGAAATATAACTTTCGCTAATCTATATATCATGTAGTCTGCGCGTTCACTCACAAGGCTGGAATTCACGCCAAGGTATGCCAGCATATTCCCCCCAAAGCACTTGTGCACACGCAGCCACTCAATTCACGTGCCCCTCCCCCTTTTCTAATATGATTTCCTTGGGGTACCCCGGGCACGGCATGTAGCTGACTTAATGTTTCCTTCAGGCTATTTTGAACAACCCCTCGACATATGAGATCCTCAAGCCTGAGGACTTCGGTCTGAACCGCTACGTCTCATTTGCGAGTCGACTCACGGGCTGGAATGCTATCAAGTCCCGTGTTGAGCAGTTGGGGCTGTCAATGACGGATGACCAGGTCAAGCTCTTGTAAGTCCACGTGGTCACGGATGAATATCACGGCACAATAGTCTGACAAGAGTGAACAGGACCGCCAAGATCAAGCAGATGGCGGACGTTCGTCCTCTTGCTATTGACGACACCGACTCTATCATCCGTTCCTTTCACCTCGAGCTAGAGAGGGAATGAAGTCTCCGTAAAGCAATTGGGTGGCAATATGGACGGGTCTTCCTAGAAGGTCTCCGCATCATTTCTCAGGGCTTGCGTGCTTTCCGGATCAAAAGGCGTTTCTGGAGTCAAAAAACGGAGCTCGGAAAAAAAAGGTGAACCATCTGAACTATATTGGCCTAGAATAGAACATAGCCATGTTTGATTCATATGGAGTGGTCCTCGACACGTCTACTTTTGCAGTTGCGGCGCAAACACTCAGAAAGTTAGTGGCTGCCAGCCAAATGACGCCGACGCCTCAATACCAGAGCACACGTATAACAGTCTAGAGGAAATAAATAAGTTCAGGTCAGACAAGTTCCAACCCGTGTATAAAGTACAAAGGTATATACACCACAGGTGCAATACACCCCGAGAGTTACCAACTTCGTCTTCTGTCTCTCATTACCATCATCACAACGGCATCAGCCACGGACTGCATTCTGCAAAGTCGTTGAGTGGTAGTTCTACTACCACACACTTCCGATGGGGATCTATTTAGCTTCTCTGGGGTTTAATAGCGGCAAAGACGTTGCTCTCACCTGGCTGGCTGGCTGGCAGGCATTGGAAATCATTGACCAAGTCAAGTAAGTCACCATGGAGGGGGAAAAGGGGAGATGGCCGGCCAGCCGGCCCCAACGCGATCTGTCTTTTCGCTCCCCTTTTCCCACCCTCGGCCATCCCCCCAAACCAACCTGCCAACGAATGTGCGCGGCTTCGGTTTCTTCTCTGCCAGCGGTTCCCAACGCGTGGCATCCTGGGGAAAGGGGGGGACGGGGTTGCAACGGGTCGCTTCGGGGGAGGGTTCCGAGTATTTATTTCGTCTCTCTTCCCCAGAGAAGATACCAATACAGTCAATGATAGATATATCATGACGAGGGACGGACGGACGGACGGACGGACGGACGCTTCGAAGCCCTGAAGACAGACATATATACATTAGATATCTCGCTATAGTCCAAAAGGAGACGGACGGATGGCTTCAAGCAGCAGGCCGTCCCCCGAGGTCGGTCGGTCGATCTGGCAATCAAGCAAGCAATCAACCAACCGATAAACCACCCAACCAACCAAGCAACCAACTAACCAACTGGTCCCCCTGCCCTGTTCTTTTACTCATC